AAATCTAATAACCATCTGTCACTGTACAAAGTTATGATACTATTGACTACATTTCCTATGCTGTACATTATATCCCCATGACTTATTTATGTCATAACTGGAAGTTTATACCTCTAGTTCCCCTTTATTTTTTTCACCCATCCCCTACCTCTGTTCCATTCTGACAACAGTCAGTTCTCTGTATCTATGACTCTGTTTCTGTTTTGTTTTGCTTGGTTGTTTTTTAGATTCCACATATAAGTAAAATCATACTGTATTTGTCTTTCTCTACTTGATTTTTTTCACTTAGCATAATACCGTTTAGGTCCATCCATTGCTGTTGCAAATGTTGAGATTTCAAATAACAATTGTTGGTGAGGATCTGGAGAAAAGGGAACCCTTGTGCCCTATTAGTGGGACTACAAATTGGTGCAGCCACTATGGAAAACAGTTTGGAGGTTCCTCACAAAATAAGAAACAGAACTACCATATGACCCAGCAATTTCACTTCTGGGTATTTATCCAAAAGAATGAAAATACTAATTTGAAAAGATATATGTATCCTATGTTCATTGAAGTATAATTCACAATACCCAAGATATGGAAGAAATCTAGGTGTCCACCAATAGATGAATGGGTAAAGTTGTGATATATATATATATATAGATAGATAGATAGATAGATAGATAGATAGATAGATAGATATAGATATAGATATAGATATATAGATATATATCTATACACTCTCTCTCACACACACAATGGAATATTATTCAACAATAGGAAAAAAAAGTGAATATTTTTTTAATACACAGGCAGAGTAATTCCAGTGACTTATAAGCCTCCTTCCACCATTTTGATGAGCACATTAGCTCTACCTCTTTTCCATTGCAGAATTGAAAGGGAAGGGTGAGATGGAAGGGAAGAAAACAAAAATACTGAGGTGGAAAAGGTGGTTGAGAGGAAGCTGACAATGAGGAAGGGGGCGACCACAATGGCAGATGGGTGTACGATATTTCTTGAATCTGTTAGTGATGCCTTCTCTTCTGCACCCACATTTTTGGGTCTCCCCTGCTGGTGTCTCACCAAGGCTGCCTAATGTCCCTCCTGGCCTACTTTTGTCCACCCTCAACACTGTTGCTAAATGAATCTTCCTAAATTAACACTTTTCCTCTTTCAGCAATTCACAGTTGCTTTCAGAGCTCATGACAATTTGGTCTCTGCATCCTAGTTTATGCCCTCCTTCCATTCATTCATTTATTAAACAAATGTTTAGTGAAAAATGCACAACATGAACTTTCTGGTCTAATTAGGTCACTCTGCTCTCTGTACCTTCTTAAATATTCTTTGTCCACTGCTTATCTCCATGAATTCTAATTAATGCCATTTTCTTATTTTTTAATTAAAATTATTATATATATATTAAATTACAGTTGACATTCAATACTATTCAGCTTCAGCTTCAGGTGTACAGTGCAGTGGTCAGGCATCTACACCGTCCATGCATGGACATTCTTAAATGAATTAACCCAAGCTCTCAATGAAGCAGGTGGCAATGGCAGACCAGCTAACAGGATACTGTCACCGAGACCAAGTTATCTGTCTTAGGGATTGTGCTGGTCCGGGGAGATTGGCAGAACCTCTACTTAACTTGATAGAGTTTCTTTCACTTTACCAAAACAGTGGGTGCCTGAGATCTCCTTGAGGACAATGTCTTAGTCGTCTCTGAATTCCCAGTGTCTAGCCCCCAGAGCTTGGCAAATATAGGGTGTGGAGGGCACTCAGTTAATATCTGGAGAGCTAACAAATGAATGAGTGGATAAATAAAGGGGGAAAATAATAGATTACTTATTTATATTTCCAAACCCAGGGAAGAGTGTTGGTTAACTGCAAGGACAAATATATGAACAGATGATGTTCTGTCCCAGCTTAGGAGATGGAATGAAAAAGAACAGGAGTTCACAAAGGCCTCTGCATTGTAGCCATAATAGGCTTTGCTTGGGAACTGCTTGTCCTTTTTCCCTTTTCTTTTTTTTTTATCCTCCATTGTGCTGTTGAACAAGTAAGGCCTGAAAAGGAAAGTTGCAGATTTCAGTAGTCCTGAACCCTTTAAGTGTTTTCCTTAGAAACTGAAGTGGGAGTTATGGAAACAGAAAAAAAAAAAAGTTTCCATTGTGGGGAGGAGATTCATGAAGCTGGAGCAAAGCTTGTGCACAATGCAGGCTAGGTTTGTGGCTGGATGGAGACATTATTTCATCCATGATTTTTGCAGCTACTGGCTGAAAGTAGATAAGCAATTGAAAGGAGAAAAAAAAAGTAGAAATGAGAAATATGATTTAATTAATCAAATTTTGTGGGTGTTTTCTTCAGTCATGGAGTGTTCTTCAACCCTATTGTTGTAATTTTACTATTTTTCTAACTTTCTATTTTGACTGCTTTACAGGATTGAAACTAACAAACAAAACATATGTGAGACTATGTCTGATAAAGCAACACCCAAATGCTATTAACCATTCATTCCTTTCCAGAACCATGACATAAGACAACTTTGAACTTCATCAATACAAATGTTCCACTAGTACATTTTTATGTCTTGATGTCAGAGTTAACTGTAGTTACAAATGAACCCCTTACCTATTTGGCTAGTAGAACTTGCAGACATTTTTGGTGTTTACTCATGTAAACATCGCCCTACCGTTTGGCCAGTGATTGTTAAATGCAATGTTAAACGGAATAAAGTTAAATTGGAAGCAAACCCCATTTTAAACTTCAGCCAGTTTCAGTCAGCTTTGAGATAATGTTGACTTCTGATGAAATGAAGGCACCAGGAACTCTATGACCAATTTTCCCTAGTGAGACAAAAGTCTCTAAGATTCCTGGGGCAAGTTCCAGTTAAACCTTTATGCCACAAACCATTATAATTCCCAGCCATAAAATCTCCTGTCTCTTATGGTTACTTTAAAAATCTGTATTGTGTCTAAATTTAAGACACATAAATGAGGCTGAGACTTATCAATTAAATGATCGCCGTCATCTTGTTTATTTAAATCTTTTTTTGTGTTTTCTGTTTTGCCCAATTAACAGGGAAATAATAAAATTTCAATTTGTGGTCTTATTTGACCCAATACCAAGATCTCTCTGATTTAAATGCTTCTGTCCTCATGTCTTTGGCATCCTAGTAATGATGAGTTGCATCATCATTATTATTGTGTTTCTATATTTATTATGCAATTGTTTTGTTAGATAAAAAAATCAGCCTCGGCTTGTAGAATTGAAAAGGGAACAAGTTCCAACATAGGACCATGGCAGGATTAATAATGACATGTCATATAATGTCCAACCCTAATAATATCCTCTCTGAGCAAAACTTTATCGTCAACATTTCTTTGTGGAGTCCAGAAGCTGCGTCAGTCCTTTTCTGCTTTCCCTACTGACCTTTTGGGAAATTTTCTTCCACTGATGGAATTGTCATTCTGTCACAGGAAAAGACAACAGAGTAATGTAAAACGGTGACTGGCAAAAGCAAGGGCTCAGGCTGGCCCGTCTGTGACAGTTTCAGTAAATTCCTTCTCCTGATTTAAAGGGAAGCGAGTGTTACTTAAGCTTTTGAAGTTTCTTTGGCACATTTCAAAACTATTTGGCTAGACAATCTAAATAACTGAATATAGTAATTGTATAGGTTTAAATATTATAGCTCATCCATTTCTTTTTAAAAGCAGAATAAATAACCTTGTATCCTTAAATTCCTTATTTTTGTCATTGCTTTTACTAGGTATGCATTTTTTGAAAAAAAAAATACGGTTTAGGTTGGTCAAGGAAATTCTTTTCAGAATTTTTCAGAACCATTTTGTCTGCACAAGAGAACTCTAGATGTCACTCCTAGTGACAGAGGTAGGGTGGTCAGCCCATTCCATTGGTAGCTGTTCAAATTATGAGAAGGATTTTCCTCATTTTGAACCAATATTTATTTTCCTATAATGCCTACTATTGTGTCTTTATCTGTCAACTTTTCCAACTCTCTTGCCCTTTTAAGCCTGTCTGTACCTGATCATTCTGGAGCTAACCATTTAAAAAATATATTTCTTCTCAATGTTCCCTTAGATGTCATTAGATGAGATAAGACCTGTGATTATAGTAACCACAGCACCTGGCAATTAATGCCATTCACTAAATATTAGTTACATCTTTGTTTTTAAAGTATCAATAAGGTGCACAGGAAAGAAAGCACAGGGCTTTGAAATCTGTTAGGCCTAGATTTTATTGCAGTTCAAGTATTAACTTGCTCTAGGGTTTGGGGCTCTAGTTTTCACCTTTCTCAGTCTGTCCTCGATTTTTCTTTTTTTTTGAGTAATGATAAAATGCAATACACAAAGTTGTGTTCAGGATTACCTGTGCCCATATCCATAAAGCACCTATCACAGCTTCTACTGAATAGTAGTTGCTCAGTAAATATTAGTCTCCACACACACCACATCCCACCCCAACCCCACCTCCTTTGTAACTAGAATAACAGTGTAAACAGAAAAATAGCAGCCTTGGCTTCCAGCTTTGGCCTTTCTAGTCCCAAAACCTTGGACAAATCACTTTACTTCCTTACATGTTTCCCTATCAAATAGTCCCATGTCTACTACAAAAGTTCGTTGTAAGAATCAAATAAAATACTAGATTGGTAATAATTCAAATATCATCGTCTGTTTTCTTAATGTAATTGGCAGTAGTAATATATCAGTGAATAATTGCTTAATGAATGAATGAATTATCTAGTCCCCCACACCTCCCTCCCCACACCAGAGCAGGGAGGAAAAGCCCAGCAAACTTAATATTGAAATCAGTCCATGCATGTTTATGGAAACATAAATACATGGGAACATTTGCTTGATCCGTGCAAATCCAGGCAAAAACTCTCACAGAAACTTTTGGCAGAAGAGCCGTTGCTCAGTGCTGATATCAACACTACAAAAGTTCAGAATCCCAGAGTTGTAATTGTCAATGACTGACACTCTTCTTTTCGTTTCTTCCAGGAATTTCTATTACATTACAATGTTGCGCGATCCAGTGTCTCGGTACCTGAGCGAGTGGAAACATGTCCAGAGAGGGGCCACATGGAAAACCTCCCTCCACATGTGCGATGGGAGAAGTCCCACGCCTGATGAGCTGCCCACCTGTTACCCTGGGGATGACTGGTCTGGGGTCAGCTTGCGGGAGTTCATGGACTGCACCTACAACCTGGCCAACAACCGCCAGGTGCGCATGCTGGCTGACCTTAGCCTGGTGGGCTGCTACAACTTGACTTTCATGAACGAGAGTGAGAGAAACACCATCCTGTTGCAGAGTGCCAAAAACAACCTGAAGAACATGGCCTTCTTTGGGCTCACGGAATTCCAGAGAAAGACACAGTTTCTCTTTGAGAGGACATTCAACCTCAAGTTCATCTCTCCCTTCACACAGTTCAACATCACGCGGGCTTCCAATGTGGAGATTAATGAGGGTGCCCGCCAGCGAATCGAAGAGCTAAACTTCCTGGACATGCAGCTTTATGAGTACGCAAAAGATCTGTTCCAGCAGCGTTACCACCACACCAAGCAGCTAGAGCACCAGAGGGACCGGCAAAAGAGACGGGAGGAGAGGAGGGTGCAGCGGGAGCATAGGGGCCATCGGTGGCCCAAAGAGGATGGGAACATGGAGGGGGCAGTCACTGAGGACTACAACAGCCAAGTGGTGAGATGGTGACCCCATGCCCGCTCCTCCCACTGGAGGGGGACGGTGCGCAGGAGCACTGACCTGTGGCATTCCGTTGGCGACTGTTGGGCCCTTCTGAGAACACCTGGCTGGATATGGCTTGATTTGGACACCTGCTTCCTCTTTGTCTTCATCTTTATCCAGCTGGAGATGATCGGTCTTGTGCTTCTTTTTTTCCTGACACTTTTCCATCTGCGATATTAACTAGGGTAGGAATGCATCCAGTATGTACCACTGTAGAAGGTCAAGGAGAGAAGCGCCGAAAAGGAAACCGTCCGTGCAATTTCCTTTACAGAAGCATAGGTTAAGAGTTCGGGCAACTGCAACCCACAGAGGCACACATGAAAAGCCAAATGAGGGCTTGGATATTTTGCTGAAACTGGTCTATTTCATGCTATCTCTGTAATGGAAACATTGGTCTATTTAAAGAGAGAGAAAAAGAAGTCCCTTATAGACCTTATCACGGGGTTTTAGGCCAACCCTCACTTTGCTGTTGACCGTCACCTTTGAACTCTATTTGAATGTGGTTTAAATTGTAAGAAGAGTAATGTGTTTTGTTGTTGTGGTCTTTTAAAACAAGATTGCTATTGACCATCACTATTCACATCCTACAAAGCCCTGCATCCTAGCCCTGAGACATGCTTCCTATCTCCACATTTTAGGGAACAGGGAGTGGATTCAGGACTGAGGTGCTTTGGGCTCCTGAGAAGTGGACCTTGGTAGGGACATTTAGGAGAAAATGTGTTTATTAACTAATGTCTAAGGAGATTACACTTTACCAAGTTTTATTTTCAATGTAAGGGATGAATGATAAGGGAGAAAAAGGCAGGACGATAACTATATGTCTAACATTTGCAAACTGGCTACAGAACCTGAGTTAAAGAATAATTCTGAGTTATACCTCGTGGGAGCAGTCATCTTTGATATGATATTGCCAGGTTTGAAATGCTGCTATCAGAGAGGAAAAGACATTTAAAAAGAATTTGGCCTAAAGAATAGGACCTTAGCTAGCAGGTATTAAAAATATATATTGGAGGTCCCTAAATAAATCATAATTTTGATTTAGGCCAGGAGACATGGAACACAATAGGCCAAGAGTTTAAAAAGACTCTGCCTCCTGAAATCTTAAATATTTCTAGTCTGATAACTTTTTCCTCCCCACATGGTCTTTATCTGTTGTTAGACTGTGGCTACAGCTGATGAATTGGGCTAGAGTGTATAAAACTGAACCAAAAAATGTGTTGCATTGCCACATGCTTCTCATTTCCACCTTTTCCCAACCACAACTACAATAGCGCAAAGTTTTTTAACAATAAGGGGAGAAGGACAGAAGAGGAAAACGAGAGCTCTTGCCTAGCTTTCAGTAGGAGGACCAGAGTGAGGAAAAAGTCTCACAACAGATTGATCCGATCAATCCTCTCAAGGAGCTGAAGAAAAATGAGCGAAATCCCCAAATCAGAAAAGCCTATTTCATTGATATCTAACATGTTTGATGTTTAAGCCAGCTTTGTAAAAGCCACGTCTCAACTTCCAGAATACTCTCTCTGGGGTTGAGAGTCAATCAGCCCACAAGCATTCATGGAGTGGCTGCCTGCACAGAGGGGAGCCTAGTGCCTCCATCAAAGAGAGATTTAGACAAGACACTTCTCCCACTACCCTTGACTTCATCTGTCATGTGAGGGAAGGCATTATTGGGAATCTCCCTTTTCCAAGAAACTGTGGGAGGCCCTTTTCATACTTTAAATCTATTCACAACAAGGTACATATTATTAGTCCGAATTTCACAGATGAAAAAAGTGAAACCCACTGACAGTAAGTGCTTCCTGGTGGATTGTACACTAGGTCTGGCTGACTGCAAAGCTCAAGCTCTTTTTACCCCATCATGTTTTCCATAAGGGATAAAAGCTTCCTGCCAATCATGCAAGAATCCAGCTGTCATTGCCCAGAAGGGTATGTCTCTATCTCATGTGGCTGGCACAACTGTGACAGCACCAAGCTGGCAGTGACCCAGAGCCAAGCTGCTTTGAGTAAGTCCAGCCCTCTCCACATCACCTACCCATCAACCAGCTGAGAGATTAATGACGTTTTAGGTAATTGTACTTTTTGAGCCATGTATGAGGGTGAGTTAAAGGGGCAAATAAATATTGCTTGTTAGTTGGTTGAGATTAATCTCACAGAATATCAATGCTACTTTTTCCGAAGATTTGTTCCTAAATTAAGGAGGGAAGGAGGATTACAGGTGGGATTAATGAGCAGCTCTCTCTCTCTATCTTCACATTTCAGTGTTAGGATATAATGTTCTGCCTAGAATGGCAGGTCTGCAAATTATCATTCTGCCTGCCACTATGACACACGCATGCACGCACACACACATGTACACACAATAACAATCCAGTGCTTTGTTATGTGGGAAATCAAAACAGGCTAGAAAGCATTCCGATTGTTTCTTTTAAACTCACTAAATTTTTGGCAGAGAATTCATGCATAGTGAGACTTGGAGGCAGCCTCTGCGAACTTCACGCTGTTACTTAGGCACCTCAGGATTTATATGAAAAGGTTTTCCACGGCCTCACTGCTAAAGGCATAATGTATGGTGCTCCACTGGAGACCACGTAGCAAGATGTTCAGAGAAGAAACCATTGCTTCGTGTTGGCCCCAGGCCGGTGCTGAGCAAATTAAAGAAGACCGACAAGGGCTTCCTCCCTCATATCATTTCGTTCTAAAGCAGCACACTTGTCATATCCCTGGGGTCCTATGTTGATAGAAATGAAGAGGTAAGGATGCAGTTTGTTCTCTGAAAATTGACTGCACACCTACATGCGGAATGCAACTCGGGGAAGTGATGCCAACAGAAGGCGTCTAGGCCTGAGGATCCATGGGAAGTCAGCAGCCGTAAGATCCCAAACCAAATCAATTCCAGATACATTAGTGCTAAAAACCCAAGAAGAAGGGGGGAAAAATTCCCCAGGGAGTTCCACATCCTATTGTCTCTTGCAACTCCCAGGTAAACGTTCCTCTTCTTCTCTTGGAAATGGCAGCCCCAGTAACCAGATTGGGATGAGGTGTCTGCTTAAATAATTGTTATTATTATTATTATTACTGACTAAGGTACCTAGTATCTATTCTGCCTCCTTCTCATTTTTTGGTAACCTCCACTTGGTAACTGGAGAAAACCTGCCCTGAGAATTACTTGGATTCTCTTTCTAATAATTAATAACATTAGCAATTAGTGTTAGGCAACAGCTAAGGATAATCATGCGTGCAATGAAAAATTATAAAAATGTGCTTTTTAATATCTAAAGATGGTAACTTTGTCACAAATAGTTTGATCAAAGGCTTGAAATATGAGGATTTATTGAAAAGTCTGTCTAGAGGTCCTATGACTGTGAGGAAGAAGGTCTACCAGCTAGACCTAGCAAGGAGGTGAGCATAGATCATTCAAAAATAACTATAAGTCTATTGGGTAGGGTTCCCATTTGGCTGCTTTAGAAGAGGAACTCAAAATACTAATGACTTCAATAAGATTGAAGTGATTACTCGCTCACTTAAAAGACAAAACTGATTGGTAACACTGGTGTTAACACTGGTGTGTTACCAGACACACCAGAAGCCCTCTCCTGTTGCTTTTTTATCCCAGTGTGCAGCTTCCATCTCATGGCCCAACATGACTGCTGCAGCTCCTACCATCTCATTTACATTTTAGACAGCAGAGAGGAAATGGAGAGAAGTTTCATATATCACTTCTAGTCACATCTTGTGGGCTAGAACCTATCCATTAGCAACATTTAGCTGCAAAGAAAGCCAGGAAGCATCTCTATTATTGGTTGTCATGTGCCTTGATAAATATGAGGGTTCTATTATCAAAGAAACAATGTGAAAATTAATACTGATAAAAACTATCAGTATCTGACACAAAAGGGAATTGAAAAAATATGTCAAGTGCTTTTCAATGTCATCTGTTTTGTCATGTTTTACAAAGGATAAGATTAAAATTCATTACTTTGTATAGTAGTTAATGCTTTTCAAAACATTTTTACATTTAGTATCTCATTGATCTTCCCTACATTCTGGTATGTTAAGTGGGACTTCTATTCATTACCCATTGGATAGTTTGACATGGAGATTCAGAGATGTCAAAAGATTTCCCCAAAATTTCTAGTTTACTGTCAAGAAAGTTGCTCACAGCTCCAGTCTTTTGATTTCTTAGCCTTTCCTACTACGTTATACTACTCAGCATCAGTGTTGGGGTTGGGGATTACTAGAATATGAAATCTCAATCTTTATTGCTTTGTATCTTTCCTTACCTTCTCATGGAACTGACTTAGATAATGCCAACAAGACTGGTGGAGTTGGCCATTAACTCCCTCCTCCAGTGAAGGGGCCTGTTTTTAGGAGTGAAATGGCCAAAAGATGAGCAATGTTGCAGGGGTGAGCGAGAAGCACAGGCGCCCAAACACCTGTTGGATGTCGACCCCATCCAATCCAAAAACTATTCAAGATGAGGGCTGAGGAAATATGCTCGCAGCCCCTTAGGGAAGCTCAGTGTTAGAAATATTTAGAATTAAGTAGGAGCCTGAATAGTGAAGCTTAAGGGGTGATCAATAGAACCCCTGCTCTGACAATTTCTCTTTCTTGCTACATTTTCCCTACGTCCCTGGAATTTTATCAGCAATTTATTGCTTCGGTTCTAATGAGTCCCTTTGCACATTTGCTGGGAAGAGGAAATGCTTTAAGGTGTCATAAGCTAACACCACACAGAGAGTTTATCTGATTCCTTTCCACCTGTGACCTCTAACTGGGAAGAAGGTCCTGTATAATGGGGTCATAACAGAGGTGGAGGTCAGTGAGTGTACGGGTAACTATAGTAAAAAAAAAAAAGGAGGACCCTGGAAAAGGACGCCGATCTTGCAAAGGTAGAAAGATGAGGAATTACAAATGTACTAGAAAATATTGAAGAATGGAAAGAGACTAATGTTCAGCTTCTGTCCTCAAGAACAAGGGCAGGCTGGAGACTAATTCTTTTGACCGTTTAAAAGAGCAAAAAAGGACATGAGGCTCCTAAGATAGGACCAGAGCATTGGGACAGTTTTAGGGCCTGAAGTAAAGGCTGACTGAGTTGGAGGCGTTGGATCAGAGAGAAAGCTGGGTCAGACATATAGGCAGAGAATCCCCTGATCTGATCACAGCAGTGTCTCTAAGCTTTTCCTTTCTCACACTTATTGTGCCTCCACCAGTCACCAGAACGCCAAATGAAAGGCTCCAGGCTGGGTGTCAGGGCTGGCTGAAGTCTAACAACTCTATCCAGTTGCGTCCCCTCTGGGGAACATGCAAAGATTCTTTCTCCAAGGCACTTTCAGCTTTTCTCCTTATCCCCTTCCTCCATCTCTCCTGGACATAAGCCTGCTATTATTCTCTCAGCACATTCACCTGGACACATCTGAACTGATTCCCTAAAACTTTGAATTAACCCTCTGGGCCAGTGTGGGAAGGGTTCTGAGACCTGTGTGTTTTGTAGCCTAATGGATGGAATGCACATGGACCCATCTTCATGACACATTGACAGAACCAACTGACCTTGCAGAGGTGTTGAGATTTCCAGCAGACTCACCTCACTATGAACACCAGCAACATCTGCAAGAAAAATGCCCGTGAACTTCCAGGCAAGGACTTGAGGTAACCTAACAGAACGGCAGCTCTGAGAATGTGGAAGCTCAGATGTTTCTGGAGCATATATTCTAAGTTGTCTGTGGAAAAGACTGCAACTGTCATCTTTTGACACAGTAAGTGGAGACTCTGTGAGTTCCATGTTCTGCTGCACTGTAGGAACTCATCAGATGTCAGTGCTGAAAAACTTCCGTTCCTGCCAGGGAAAACCGTGTTCTGAGGTAGCAGAGTTTGTGTGATTTAGTCATTGTCACATTTGTCTCCCACCAACTTGTCGTTATTTTTTTAAATCATGTGATCATCTTTTCTTTCCTTCTCCCCTTTGCCCCCTGCCCCGGACGTACTTTTTTGGGTTTTGCTTGCATTATTTTTCATTCAATGTATCAAAGATTAAAAAAAAAATGTTGGAAAGAAAAATCTGGACTTTTATCTGGTGCCCCATTTTAGATGTAAAGATAGTTATTCAATAGATAGTAAATTATTTCTCCTAAGAGGTATTTCCTTTTGTTTCTGTGCAATACTATGTATGAACTTGGGTACTAGGAGATTGTATTGTGACATTATCAATCCTTACTGCTATTTAAAAATGATAGTTTGTAGAACTGAGGATTTCCATTGATGTGAAGCACAATTTAATGAATAAGTTAACATATTAAACTGTTGTGGTGTCAAAAACAATTGTTTTCCCCCTATGATTTTGTCGGATGTCTTTGCAAAATGAGAAAAGTTAGTTAAATACTTTAAGGGATTTTTGGAAATTGAATCCACAGGACCAGCTTTGTCAAACTCAAAGAGTTCATGCTTTGGATACAAATGTAGTTATCAGATGTGAAACTTTAAAAGCATAAAGAAAGAAAAGAAAATATAGATTGAAACAATTTAAAATGTCTGAGGCCAGGGAGGATTTCACAGGCTCTCAAACACATAAGCTTCTAAAATCATGGTTCTCAGTAACCCTCCCCATTCAATGCACACTCCAGGACATTGAAATTCACTGTGAAAAGTGCAAAAGCAACCTGAACATGAAAGAATGAGGAAAAGAGTTGAGAAATAATGGTGGGAAAGAAAAACAGGAATTGGAGCAAAGGATTTTGGAACTGAGTCTAAAAGGAAGGAAAAGAGGTAGGGAGGAAAGGAGAGAGAATTGGGGGTGGGGAAAGATGGAGAGAGAGAGTGGAAGAAGAAAATCACAACAGCAATGAAAATTAATATGGATTCACAATTTCAAAGTGTATGGTTTGTCAGAAATTTTAAAATGTATGACCAGTTTCTATAACATAAGCAAAGGAAGAGAAAGTTAATGAGTAAGCTAATGTATTAAATTGTTGTGGTGTCAGGAAAAATTGTTTTTCCCTCATGATTTTGTTAGACATTTTTGCAAAATGAGAAAAGTTGGTATTGAATCCACAGAATCAGCTTTGTCACATTGAAACTTCTAATACAGAAAAGCTCCTTCATTTAAAAATCCCTTGAATGGTGCAATGTACTGTTTTGTTTTCATTCTGTAGAAGTGGTATTGTGGATTCCTTCCTCACTTACAGAAGAGTGAGGTTTGGAGCCTTAGAAAAACGTCATTTCACCATGTCCCTCTACCTAGTGGAAATCATATGCAAAGGGAACTTGATTCTATTTGGTTGTCAGAATAGTCATGACGTATTTTTTCTATGTTTTTCATTGCAATAATGCGCCATGACTTTTCCGACAACCCAATAGAACAATTGAAGCAGTCATAGGAATGGCTCCAAAGATAATAGAAGTTAAAAATACAAACAGCTGCACACATGCACACACACACACATTTTGGGAGCCCCTATCTTCCAAGAAAAAAACTCAGACAAGTTAAAAGAAGGATTAAGGGCCGCTCAAGATTTACTTTTTCTCCCATTTACCTTGAAAATAGTGTTGAAAATAAGATTGAAAAAAAAAGTCAAAATATTGAAAATCTGCTCTCGATCTAGTAATGTTTCACTATCACATATCAGTTTTTATGTCAAATATAAATTTGAAAATTAATGAGGTCTAATTCAGTATAATTATTTCTATATTTTATAAACAATGTCAATTGTTGTTTATGAATACAAAGTAGTACATGATCTTAGCTAATTTAGAAAATACAAGCTACTGTAGAAGCCATACATTTTAGAGCCAAATTGTGACATTATTTTGATGTATTTCTTTTCATATTTTTATGTATTAGCAATTAAAATAAAATTTTAAATAAATGTTTTAGGAAATTAGAATCATACAATCTAGGCAATATAAGTACATATATTAACATCTTAATGCCCATTCTTTGAAAACATAATTTTAATAGCTGCACATAATTTTATCATTCCCATATTTTGGGGCATTCTGGTTGTTATCAATTTTTCTACTAATTTAATAACACTGGAATGAATATATTTGTACATAAATAACATCTACATAAGTGTCTTTGTACACTTGTGGAGAGATGACAGTGAACCACTTGATTGATTTGATTGTGTCTTCCTGACAACTCCAAAAGTAAAAAATATTTAAGAGTTTCAAAATTACATAGATGCAGCTAAATGAGTTGTAAAAAAAAAACCAAAAAACTGAAATGAAAGTTATCCATATAATCAAAGAAAATTACATGTATCTCTCCAGAACCACCTCCCTGTCCCTGAACTGAAGGTCTCCTTCCCCCAAGATGCTGGGAGTGTTGGCTGCTGGCTAACAGCTCTCAGCTGTCTCTCTCAAGGACTTTGCCCTCCTGTAGTCATGTCACCTTTTGAGGCCAGGCCATATGGATGACACTGTTGTGGAGGATAAGGCCAGGTCTTCTGACTGGCGATATCTCAGCTCCAAAGGGCCCTGCAGGGGCAGCTGAGGACTTCATTGCAAAGGACCCCAGGTCACTTCCTGCCTCTGATTCTCCTATGGCCTTCACTCCCCCACAACTTGTCCCCGGTTGGCTTTCCACACACAGCTTCACCACAGGCTCGCCTCGCCAGGGTCCTAGGCTGGCCCAAGTTCCAGCCTCCACAACCTTCCGCCGCGCTGCTGCTTCGTTCTAGCAACAGCACCTGCAGATTTCCCTTCCTGTCTTTTGAACTCATCTATGTTTTGAAATTTTATTTTGGCATCTTTTGTCCAACATTTCCACTTGTTTATGGCTGAAAGAGGAATCTGTGTTAGCCCAGTCTGTCAAGTTTCTAGAAACAAGTCTGTTCTCAAATTTTAAAATCTCCTTTGAGTCTGTGTTTCCGTTGCTTTTTCATTACTCGGCACTTCATCACATTCTATTTCAAGACTCCAATTTTCACAATGAACTTTTACTCCTTTTCTACTTTGGGGGATTTTCTGTTTGCTTATCTCTTTCATAAACCTCTCTCTTTGTATTTACTTCCTTTAATAATATTTTTCTTTTCCTATTTGTGCTTACATGTTATATATTTTACTTTACCATTCCAACTCTTTTTTTCAATTTATTTTATTTCTTTAAGATTTTCATTAAAGTATAGCTAACATACAATATTATATTAGCTTCAGATGTATAACATAGTTATTCAACATTTATATACCTAAAGAAGTGATCACCATGATAAGTCAGCAGCCATCTGACGCCGTATCACGTTATCACAATATTACCGCATTTCCCCAAAAATAAGACCGGGTCTTATATTAATTTTTGCTCCAACAATCTACATTTATTCATTTATTCATGTACAAAAATCTACATTTATTTAAACAGTCATGTCTGGCTGACGATATTAACTGGGGCTTATGTTTGGAGTAGAGCTTATTTTCTGGGAAACACGGTATTGACTATATTCCCCATGCTGTGTGGTTACAGCCCCGTGACTTGTTTTATACCTGGAAATTTGGACCACTTATTGCCCTTCACCTTCTCCCCTCCTTTTAATTTAATTTTTCAATTACAGTTGACATTCAAAATTGTTTTACATTAATTTCAGATGTACAGCTTAATGGTTAGATATTTGTATAATTTAAAAAATGATCCCAGGCTAGTCTAGCACTCGCCTGGCACTATACATAGTTATTACCATATTGCTGACTATATTCCCTGTGCTTTACTTTACATCCCCAAGACTATTTTGTGCTACTAGTTTGTACTTCTTAATCCCTTCACTTTTTCACCCTATTCCCCAATCCCTCTCTCATCTATCACCCCAACAAATCTAGTACCAATATGACACCATACATAATTATTACAATATTATTGACTATATTCCTTAAGCCATACCCTACATCTGCATGACTACTGTGTAACAACCAATTTGTACTTCTTAATCCCTTCCCTTTTTCACTCACCCTCGACCCCCCTCCCATCTGGCAATGATAAATATATTCCCTGTATACATATGAGTTTGTTTCTGTTTTGTTTGTTTATTTTCTGCTTTAGATTCCATATATAAATAAAATCACATTGCATCTGTCTTTCTCTCTCTGACACTCCACTCAGCACAATATGCTTCAGGTCCATCCATGCCACCACAGATGGCAAAAACCCATTCCATTCCATGGCCAAAAAATATTCCACTGTATGTACCACCTCCTCTTTATCTATTATTTAATTGACAGACACCTCTTTATCCTTTATTCTTTTTTTTTTTTAAGATTTTTATTGGGAAATTGGGGGGATGGGAACAGTGCTGGGGAATTGGGGAAAGGGGAACAGACAAGTTGCTGTCGTTTTGTTCTTCAGTCTAGTTGTGGAGGACGTTGCTTCACTGGCCCAAGTTGGCACCATCATTGCGCTCTTCTCTGGCGAGGCAGATCAGTCGCCGGCTTCTGGACGGCCGCTCACTGCGGCTGCTGGCCGCTCACGCTGGCTGCTGGCCACACACGGTAGCCCATGGCAATCCACTGCCACAGGGACTGCAGCCTACGCCGTCGCCGGCGACTCGTGGCAGCCCAGCTCCAGGTTGAGCTGTTGTTCAGCATCTTAGCTGTGGAGGGCAGTGTCACTGGCCCTCATATGTGGGATCCGAACCGGGGCCCTCTGGCATCCCAAGCGAGTTCTTAACCATCGCGCCACTCGGCCGGCCCCTATCCTTTATTCTTTAATCTATATCTTAGGCATTCTAAATAATGCTGCAATGAACATATGGATACACATGTCCCCTTGAAGTAGTGTTTTGGGTTTCTTTGGATAAATACCCTGCAGTGGGATTAGTGGGTCTTCTTTGTCCCTTATTATAGCCTTTTGTTTTAAAGTCTGTTTTGTCTGGTATAAGTATTACTACCACAACTTTTTTGTTTGTTCGTTTTCATTCTCATAAAATATCTTTTTCCATCCCTTTACTTTCTGTCTCTGTGTGTCTTTCAATCTAAAGTGAGTCTCTTGTAGGCAGCGTGTGTAAGGGTTTTGTTTTCTTATCCATTCAGCCCTTTTATGTATTTTCACTGGAGAATTTCATCTATTTACATTGAGAGTAATTATTGATAAATATGCAGCTATTGCCATTTTATTATTCATAATTTTGATCTTTTTTTTTTTCCCCCATCTTAAAGTCCCTCTAACATTCTTTGTAATACTGGTTTGGTGGTGGCAATCTCCTTTAGCTTTTTCTTGTCTGGGAAGCTCTTTAGCTGTCCTTCAATTTTTAATGATAGCTTTTCTGTGCAGAGTAATCTTAGTTGTAGGTCCTTGCTTTTCATCGCTTTCAATATTTTGTGCCAATCCCTTCTGG